CACGTGGCGGCGGTGGGGGGGCCGTGACAGCGGAGGGGGGCGTCTGGGACCGCCGTGGGAGCGCGCGTGTGCGGGGTTGTGGATCTGCAGGTGTCTCGCCTGGGTGTGTGCGTGTGTCTGGCCCCGAGTTTGTGCTGGGGTCTGCAGGGAGTGGTTGGTTGTGTCGATCCGGAGGAATGTTGGGGTTCGTGAGCCGCTGGGGTGCACGCGTGAGTCCGCCCGGGTGTTTATGTGCGGCTCGGATGCCGTGCCCGTGGGGTGGGGTGGACCTGTGCGTGTTCTCTGAGAGTTGCCTGCGTGTGCGGTGGTGTGTTTGTGTGTTGCCTGAGTGGGCTGTTTGTGTGTTGCTGTGTGTGGCTCCTAGTGGCTGTGCCTGGGTCTTCTGTGTGTTGTTTTGTGCCCGGTCGTCTGCATCTCCGGTGCATGTCTGCCCAGGTTTGTGACGGTGTGCTTGCTGGGTGCCGCCGTCTGGCCAGGTGTCTGTGAGTTCTGTGTGGGGTGTGCGTGTGTAGCGGGGGTTGTCTCAGTCTGTGTTTGGCGTGTGTGTCTGGCATCCGCGTCTGGGAACTGAGGACCCAGGCTCTGGGGTCTGTGCAGTACTGTCTGTGGTGTTGCTGGCAGCTTCTCCTAGGGGCTGTCTGAGCCCCCGTGTGTGTGTGTGTGTGTGTGTGTGTGTGTGTGTGTGTGTGAATCTGAGGGGCTTGTCGCTGCAATCGGCTGGCTCATGTGTGTCATGTGGGCTGCGTGTGTGTAGTGTTTATGTCAGTCACGTGAGGCCAGTGTTTTCTGTCGGTGCTCTGGGTGTGTGTGTGGCTGAGGCTGTGGGATTAGAGTTAGCTGTGGGGTGTGTGCGCCCGTGCTGACAGTTGTTGGTGGTGTTTTGAGGTTGGGAGAGGCGACTGGGTTGGTGTGGGCCCTTCTGCTGGTGTGTCTGTGTCGTCGTTGGCATGTGTCGGTGACGCATCGGGGTCTGATGACATGTGTCTGTGTGTGCCTGCTTTATATGTCCTGGGGTCTGAGAGTTGGTGACATGTGGGTGTTTTGGTGGTGTTGGTCTGTGGATGTCTGTTTTGTGTTGATGTTTGTGTGTCCCGAGATGTGTAGACCTCTCTTTGAGGTGTGTGTGTGCAGAGGAGCATGCTGTCTGAGGGTTGTGGTAGAGCCTATTTTGTGTGTGGGGGTTGTGATGGCTGCAATGTGTGTGTGTGTGTGTGTGTGTGGGCACGTGTGCATGCCTCTGGGCATACCGAGAGTGGGTCTCTGTGTGAGGTCTAACTGTGGGGGTGGGGGTGGGTTGTGCTGGCCAGCATGCAGTGTGTGTATGTGCTGTGCACTGTAGCACCGTGTCAGTGTGTGCGTGCCAGTGGGAGGTCAGGTGGGAGGTCAGGCTGGCCTGTCCTGTGTGAGTCCTTACTGCGAGTGTCCTGCACCCTCCACACACAGCCCCCTGCACACCTCCAACTGTCTTCTCCATGCGTGTCCCTGCCCCATGTGCCTGTCCCTGTGTGTGTTGGGGGTGCTGTCCCCACCACCATGCCCTGTGAGCCCAGGTGGAGTGAGTTTGCAGTGGGGCTGTCACAGCACCTGGACAAACCCACAGACACACATGCGCACACTCCCCTGACAGTTTTCCCGTCTGGGTCCCCCGTGAGCCCTGTGCTGCTGTGAGAGTGGTCCTGGGCCTCCAGGTCCCTGATCCTGGCCAGCCGGAACCCCTGTCATCCCTAGTTGGGTGTGTCTTGAGTGCCATCCCCCTGCATCTCCCTCCTTCAGGGTCCTGTATGAGTTCTGAGTGGGAGGTGTGTATGCTTGGGCCCTGGGACCCCGGGACCCCATGCGCTCCTCCGTTGACCCGCCCCTTCGTCATGTCCCACAGGCCCCAGGGAGCGCCATGGCCCGCGCACGCCAGGAGGGCAGCTCCCCGGAGCCCGTAGAGGGCTTGGCCCGCGACGGCCCGCGCCCCTTCCCGCTCGGCCGTCTGATGCCCTCAGCTGTGTCCTGCGGCCTCTGCGAGCCTGGCCTGCCCGCTGCCCCCGCCCCCCTGCTGCCTGCTGCCCACCTC